GTTATATGCTGGTAAATGGGTCAGCATAACATGACTCTCTCATCTGATCAATGCCTGCTTCAGGAACAATAGTGCAAATACCACACACTGCCACGGGAGTGATAAAAGAGAGCAGAGAAATATCCTGTTTCACTGCAATATGATGTTATAACCCACAGGTGCCTGAGTGCTCAGGAGGCCTGCTAAGGAACCGTGTGGTCTCCCTGCTCAGGTCCGTATTTGTATCCACACTGCTGCTAACCATTAGTTCCTTTTATTGCATGATTGTGAAATTAGTTGGTGGTTTCATTTGAAACCTTAGTTTTTGTGCACACCTACCATTCTCTTTGGTAGTGCCACTGCTCAGTGAACACAGCACATTCATTAAACAAAAGCTTTTCTCTGTTCTAAGAGATCAACATAGCAGCCTCACATTCTTCCCTTTCCAGGGAACTCCTCAAAAGGTACAGTCTGTACACATCCCATGGAAACACCTGTAAGGATTACATGCACCTTGGTGGATGGCAATTGCTGCAGGCTGTGCTTCACCAGCACCAGCCCAGTTACAGTGAACAACCACAAACCTCTCAACCGGCCAACTGGCACAGGTAGGGTGTGCTGGTGAATCTCATGGAGCCGACTGCAAAGAACATTCGTGCAGGAAGCTCTGTGTCTATTCTTACACAGTTTCACTAAAGCTGAGCTCACAGCTTGCCTGGCTGCTCCTTCCTACAAATACCCAAGAAAAGTTATAGCCTGTCGGTACGCCCACGGCCAGAACTGCTTTTGGCCAGATGCAGGCAGCTCTGTCCCTGCCTCAGAGGATGGATGGCCTGGCCATGAAACGCATGTCCTCACTGGCACCTGGCTGACACTGGCCATGTCTAACCAGCCGTTTGGGCTCTGGAAGACCAAACTGAACAATGTTGAATTAGGTAATTTCAGCTCAGCTGTAGACTGTAGGTGTCTGAAGTTATGAAAGAGATGCCACTTCTGCATGCTCGGTGTCGAGTTGGTGAATTTCTGAATCAGATACAGCTGAAGATATTCTGTACCTTAAAATATTATTCCCACAGTTCTGCTCACTCAACCATGCTAGCATGAGACTGGCACCTCACCTGTCTGGCCCGTTCCCTTCCTCTCAACATACAACCCTAAGAAACCTTTGTAAGATTCCTCAAATGCAGTCAGAAACAAATCTACACTCACAGCTGGCCAGTTCCAAGAACAACTGCACTTTTTGCTCTGTCCTGGTCTGCCTGTGAAGGTCTCTGCCTGATCTTGAGGAGGCTGAATGTGGTTGTTCCCCATAAAATATAGCAGTTGCCAGGCTTCCTGGTTACCAGTTTTGCAGTCTCCTACACTTACTGCAAAAAAAAGTGGCTACATGAGGAAACCACAACCCCCAGCCATCCAAAGTTCCCAACTGCTGCAATTAAGATAGCTCACTGTATGCCAGGCTTTGATTGCTTGTGAAGGTGAGGAAAAGAGTACTGAGCAACCCAAAAAGCACTAGTGTGAAGTGAAAGGCCTCCAGATAAAGAAAACAGTTTGTATTCCAACCCAAACAGAAACAACATTTTCTAAGTCACCCATAAAAACTGAGCTGCTTCTTTATCTGTTTTTTAGACAGAAAGAGCATCAAGGTACATCTTCTGGGACGCAATAGCATCACAAGCTCTTTGTGTAGTTCTCCTTTCCAGGAATGTGCTGCTGCTCAGCTGGAGTTAGATGAAGTCCTCAGCATCTCCCTCTTAAAAAAAGGAGGCCAATCCCTCTTGGTGTAGCAAGCTGTGGTAGCCTGCTCAGAACAAGACAACCTGTTAGCTTAAGTCAGCTTGGCCATCCAGTTTTTGAAACCTTTAAACACACACAAAAATATCAGAAACCAGTCACAGCACAACATAGAAGATAACAGACTCAGGTCTGGGCTGATTAGTGTTTTATTTCCCCATCCAACTTTCTTCACAAGGACGTGAAGGTGAGGTTTTCACTCACCTCCTAGCTCTCTACTGGGAAATGTCCTGACTGTTTTTGCTCTGGATGATTTAGTCTTGTTATTCAAGATGATATTTTATAGTTGTCTGGAAGAACAACAAGTCACACATGCCTTCAGAGTAGCACGGAAACCCATTGGACCCCACCTTTGAAATTTGATTCATTTGCACTTGAGCATCCTAATTCTAGATTTGAGACTCAACTTACTCCAGTCTGGCCATTAAGTACAAGCAAACACATATTTTAGACACTTGTGAAAGCTGAACTGCAAAGCTGCTTTGATATATTTTCCACCAAAAAAGAAGAACAGCAGAATTCATGATGATGTAATGCAAATGAATGTGGGTTTGCACTGTATGAACACGTTTCCTCTGAAACAGATTTTGATCCCTTGAAAATGACAAGTGCTGCCTGCTGCTGCCTGACTTAGCGACAGCAGCACTTACTGCACCTAGAGGATAAAAGATGGGAAAAGTTCTCCAACCTCTACAGAAAACAAACAAGCAAACAAACAAGCAAACAAAAACTACTCATCTTTGCCATAAGACTTATAAATTTTTACTCATACACTTCCTTTTAGTAAATCAGAGTCTGGTTTAGGTTCTTCCATCCACTATTCATTTGCTAGCTGGAACACAATATTGTGAAAAAGATAAGGTTGATAAGATTGTTGTCTCTAGGCAGATCAAGCAATATACATCCAGCACATTTTCGTGGTTAATTAAAAAAAAGTAATCTGAAACAAACAAAACCCTTCTCCTTCCCGTTGAAAACCTCAGAGCCATGCAGCCACCTCAGTCCCTGGAACTCAGCATTCAGCAAGCAGCAGTGCTGGGTGATAAAGGCACCATGAGCAAAAAGGACTCACTGAAAAAAATTCCTGATGAGCATATTCATGTATAGCACCTGGTAGGAGAAATTACAAAAACAGTCACCAAAGACAGGGAGCAAACAAGCCCTAATTTCTCAGCCAATAATCTATCTGCATGTGTGGGAGTGAGTCATTCATAACTTGCCCTCATTAAATATGATCTAGATAAAAGTTGTCCTAATTCAAACCAAAAAGGCCAATCTGCAAAAGAATGACTTCTATGCACACCAACAAATTACATGCTCACCTACAAGCGATGAACCCACACATATCAGAAGCAAATTGCCAACTTAGCAAACATGTGGTTGATGTGTGCAGAAATGTTGATTTTCTGTTTAGCTCTGCTGCACCAAGTGATACTAAGTGGGAAGTTCATAGAGCCACAAGGGATGAACCTCGTGCTGGAAGTGAAGGCAGCACAAAGTATTAAAATACATTTTTAAGCTAAGTCTTAAACATGCCTGTGACAAGAGGATTAAATAAGCAACCTCATTTCGGCTGCAACATGACACAGATTAATTCATTCAAAGGCCACATATAATTGTAGGGTATTTGTTTTCTGCTAATATTTAGTTGCACTCTTAGATTTCTTTTTGTGACTCCAGATTCATTACAGTCCACTGCTGAGACTTGTAGCTAGCCCACAGCTCTCAGATGACAGAAGTTGAAAAGCCCTTGAAACCTCCCAATTCTATAACACATTTCCCAAATAGTACGGATCATGTTGCCTTCATTTCCTCTGTCACATGATTTCCTTATGAGGTTTACCTAAACTTTGTTTGGGTTCCGATTTTTTTTTTTTTTTTGCTTCAATTATTATTTTTAGATGAGACAGGAAGAATCCTGTAGTACAAATGCTGGTACTACTTTTTTCTGCAGGAAGTACAGAATTTTCCCATAAAGACCAAATTACCTCCAAAGCCAGGTTGCAATTTGAAAAACATCATGTAAAACTTCTTTTTTTTTTTTTCTGTATTTACTGCTGCAGCAAAGGGTTGCAGTGTATAAGGTAAAAGAGCAGTTCACAAGTCAGAAGAGTGGCTCTTGGCCCTAGGAAGTGAGTTACACACTTCAGCGACAGGATCTCCAGAGACAGACTATTTGGACTCTTCCATATGAAGTGTCCATTTGACATACACAGATGAGCCCCTACTTAGGGTTTTATTCTCCTGCCAATTTTGTTGCTTGGAGATAATATTGTGTCTGAGAGTGTCACATTGTCAAATGGCAATTCACTTTTTTTTTCAGTAAATTATGTCACTTTATGTAACCATGAACATCCGTTTGATGCTGATCCCAACCAAGCCGCAGCTGGCCAGGACCTGAGGAGACCAGTAGCTTTGGTTTCTTTGTTACGTCCCACCCTTGTCTGCTACCTCCTGAAGACAGCAGTGGGTGATTGCCCCCATATTCCTGCTGTTTACTCTTTGCAAGCACGACTACCTTTCCAAAAGATGCACGTTGCATGACACCTCTCAGTGCAGAGGAAGAGCTTCAGACTCCATCGGGAAAGGCTTATTGGTGGAAAAGCCTTGACAGTTCATTCCAAGAAAAGCATGTCTTGGCTAGTGTACGACTCACATATAAAACACTAGTTTAGTCCTCTGTATACCTCACTCCTCTCTCCAATAAGCATTTGCAGTTATGAATCAAACACCTGAACTGGCTAAAACTGGCATATGCCCTTTAAATAGTTTAACAGCTGCATGCGTGTAAGTAGCTGTATCTTTCAGATGCATCTGAGTGCCAAACTACTGATCTCCAGTATGCAAATTGAGCAGAAATTAAGTGAAGAAGCCCTATTTCTATGACAGCCTCTCCTACAACTTTTCACTTCCTCATCTCCCCTCCAGCTAAAGGAATAATTAGAAATTTGGAGGTAGCCACCACACGCCCATAAAAGCTCTCAGCTGCTTCACACCAAGAAAAGTCCAGTCCAAAATCAACCCTGGCTTCAGAGACAAACTGCTCCCACCCTACATTGATTACTGACTGGAAACAGCTGAGGACTCAAGTCTTTACTCTCTTTCTCCTTCACTTGTCTATATAAAAAAATGCAGTGTGTTTTGAAATAGAAAAAAAAAAAAAAAAAAAAAAGAGAGAAGAAAAGGAGGATGTGGTTATGCCATTTAGTAAGAGTACTGGTAGGGTATGGTCTGTAAGCAAATGCTCTCATGCTCTACAGAACAACCTGGACTGAAGCAATGCTGCTGATCTGCTTGCTGGAGTTCAGGTAAAGTAATTCCTATTTTAACTAATAGCTTATGTTTTTCAATAATCAAATACCAGCATTGATTGTATAGCACTATTTTTAAGCTAGCTGGATGATAATTTCTTATACAGATCAAACAGTAAGATCAAACATGTAGTGTTGCTTAGCCTAGAGCAAAAAGATTTCCACTTTAGTGATAAGCATAAATATATTCTGTTGCAGTCAAAATACTTAGAATTAAATTGTAAGAAATTATCCAACTACAGATGAAATATATGGGAGGTGTGGGACTTACTGCTCTTCACTGCACTAAGCCATCTTACACTTCTCCTGTGTATCAACAACAAAAATAATTTATATCAAACATGAATAATGTTCTAGAAAATAGATATAAACAAAGACTGCTTCCTAGCAGTAACATTACTTGGTTTGTATTGATTAGGAGGGTAATTATGGTAAATGCTGTAAAAGTCCTTGCTGAATTTTTCTCATTCCACTTTTCTAGTATAGCTAGATTAAGAATGATTGGTTTTCGGTGTTCTGTTGTCTGATTATCATTTCTTTACTATTAAAGCTACACCTATACTTACAGTAAATTATAGATTTTATGATGAGGATGTTCCTGCTGATGAAGCTCTCATGTATAACAGTATCCCTAATCTGTTATCACTAATTTGTGCTAACAGAGAGGTTTGTGTGAATCCCAACTAGAGCCAGATGAACTCAGATCCGAGCTACAAAGAGGAAACCATTCATGCATCCTACTGTGCTGCAGAAATCCTAGAGAAGGTAATACTGTAAAACCTTGCTGTTCCATGTCCTAGGCCAGTACACCTTTACTGCTAGATCCCACTATTTGTAAACCAAATTAACATTTAACTAGTCCATAGGAAGTGGAAAGTCCTCACTCAGTAGGAGAAATCAAGAACAAATGGAGCGGTGATGACACAGGGTCTGGACCAGCTAAGACACGCTTCCTCAAGTAGTGTTAATTACAGGTTCTTATATTATCTTTTGGCTTCTAGAAGCTGTCTGAAACAATCCTAGAGCTGCAGGTGATTCCTTCAGGAAACTCGTGGAGGACAGAGGAATTTTCTTCAGAAGACTGGAAAAGAGCAAACATGGTTCCTGTCTCTTAAGAAGGTGGAAAAGGAGGAGCTGGGAAATGGTAAATCACTAAGCCTGGCTTCAGTATTTGGAAAAATACTAGAATCACCTGCCAAAGAATCTGTTTGCAAACACGCATAAAACAACATAGTGGTAAGTAACAATCTGCACAAATTCATCTGAGAATGACTGAAATAGAAGTAATTTGACTTTCTTCTGTGACACACTGACAGCACTGGGGGACGGGGTGTCTGAGGGGGAAACAGGCTTCAAACTCTATCTCTGAAGAAATTCTCATAAGTGAATGAAGGAAGCATAATCTGCATGAAACTTCTGTATGATTAGTGAGTACCCACTGAGATACTACTCAGTCTCTACCATACAGGAAAGATGTATTTGGTACAGTTCAGTATCTTTCAGATTCGGTATCATGAGCATTTTTATTAATAATTTTGACAATGCAGTAAAGAAGATGCTTATGAAGCAATTGCAAGGTTATTTGTCAATGACAATCTTCAGATAATTCGGGCAAACATATTACTCATTGTGAACTGCTTGCGAACAATTCCTTTGGATTACTCACGATGTGAACTTTAAAACTGAGGGGAGGCAAAATGATAAAAAATATAAAGTTTTTGAGAATCAGGCACTCCATTTGAATACTTGAAATTACCAGTTTAAAGGCTGGGTAACATTTTCTTGAAATGAACCATTTCCAGGTGTAATGCTCTACGTAATTTTAGAATTATACGAATCCTAAAAAAAAGAAAAAAAAATCAGTGAAATAGAAACCCAGTAAAAGTAGAATAAAAGGTCATACTTCTAAGCGACATCACAAGCAAGTTCTGATCTATTTCTATAGCACAAAAAGTGCGCTAAAGAGTGAGAATTATATCACTTCTTATGTACCACAATCACATGATTTTCTAAGCAGCTGCCACACATTGCTGGCTCGGAGGGATTGATTCAACCTCAGATTGACTAAAAAACCAAGGTTTTCTTTTTGTTCTCATTTCTGACAGATAAATTACTGATAACAATCAGATCTCCTTTTGCTATTTCCTAAATTCACAAAGCTGCAGCAGTCCCACTCACGCAGCTCAGTCCAGTTCTCTGGAAGTGGCAGTTGGACCCGGCCCCTGACCAACAGAACTTCCTTGCAAGTCAGGCTCGCTCCTACAGTGGGGCCACTGGGGAAACACTGCCAAGGAGTAGTCTCAGTGAATTTGTGCATCCCTCTAGTAACCTGCATCCAGCCTGTTGGTAGTCCTCATCACCTTTCTTGCAACCGTTTTCTCACCTACATAACAGCCCTTGTTCTAACCTCCATTTTTTCTAGAACTATTTAGTTATCTATAGTACACTTTGCTGAAATGAAAGTGCCTTACATCTTCAGCCTTTCCCTTATCTGAAAAAGCAGACAATTTATCAAATAAGATAATGATCTGGCAAGATCTGACAAAGCCTTATTTAGTAGTTTTCCTTAAAAATCTGTACGAAGCTTTGACTCAACAGTTATAGAATTGCTTTAATCACATTTGGCACTCTTTCCTTCAACAGATAGACCAAATGGATCATTTTCCAAATACATTAATAACATACATACTTTGTAAAAATTACTGGGTTAGATCTTCAGCTTTAAGTGCCTCTTTTTTCCATAGTCTGAGCTGGAAATAAACTATTTTCCTTAATAAGAGCATGTTAAATTCTGAGTGCATTCTGTATTCAAAAACAGGTATTGCCATTATTACTCACTGATTCCTGTAAATCATCACATCTCTGACCTCCAGCACAATAGCAGCACCCCTATGAAAAGCAGAGGGCCTTGGGTTTTGCCAAATCTTACGTATCTCCTCAGTTAATATTTAGCAGATCTACTTTGTCTCTGTTTATTTTTTTTATATTATATTATAGCCATGTAAATAAAAAATCTTTCACTAATTGTTTTTTTGGTTTCTTTAGCAAAGTCCAGCTCCATTTGGTAGTGTTAATGAGCTATCTGTCACTTTTTGTTCTTCAAAGCAAATATTCCACCCTTGATCAAGTTCTTTGAAAAACCTTTTCACCTACTCCTAAAATTGATTTTGAGCTACATGGTTGGCTGAGCTGGACTAGAAACTAACTATCAATTTCTTCTCCTTCATTAGGATTTTTTGTGATTTTGATTCAAAGCGCTTATCAAAAAGCACTTTTAAGGCATAATATGTTAAAGCATATATGTATTTTTAAGAATGGTGCTAACACTTATTCCACAGAAACTATACTTTTAAAACTGTATTATTAAAATGTCATGCCTTCCATTTGTTAATCTTTGCCAGATTATCTAAGATAATTAGTTAAAATTTAAAGTACTTGCAAACCTAACATTTAGTCAATGTTGAAAGCTGAACACAAGCTAGAAAACATGCTTACTCAATTAGCACCTAGATAAAAGATCAGTCTTCTTAAGCTGACCTTTTAAAAAACTGCATCACTTATAAGTACTATATGAAATGAAAATACCCATATAAACACCAGTGTATTAAAAGCACATCAGCAAAAGCTACTGATGCACAGGGAATCATGGCTATAAGAGTAAAATCCCAGCTATCAGTTTGACCTGCCTTAATAAGGAACAACAATTTAATGAATTTCTGTGTAACAAAGAAACTGAACATGTTATGGAAATTTCAATAGGTGTACGAGTTTTACTAGAGATGGCTAGTACACTTTAGAGTTTTTGAAAACATATGTTTGAATGAGTCAGTCTCTTCAATAACTGAACGGGATTATCTTAAAGGGCACGGTAGTCAGTGGATGCTGACTCCCTGAAATTGAGAATTATCCTCCTTTATAATAGATCAAGCCAGTCAAACTGGAAATAGAAAGCTCTGTGCTTGAAATGAGGGTTCGCTTTCAAAAACAGCCAAAGACTGATCAAGTGTATAGCTCAAAACCAAAAAATCCCAGAGCTGTGTTTGAAAGTATCTTGCTTTGCTATATCAAGGCATTAACTGGGTGCCTTACACATTTCCAACCTCTTCCCTCTCTCATTTTAGGGGAGAAATGACCAACAGCAGCAGAGAATGCAATTTTACAGACATCGACAGATTAGCAAAGACCCTGCGGTTGGGGATCTCCATTCCAACATTCATTCTCGGGCTGGTTCTCAACGCCCTAGCTCTCTCAGTGTTCTGCTGCTTTTGGAAGAAACAGACCAAAACCTCAGTTTACATGATCAATCTTGCACTTGCAGATGTCTTGCTGCTTCTTTCGCTCCCGCTCAAGCTCTACTACTCTATCACAGAAGCGCCCGGACTCCTGTGCTCTTTCATAGAGTCTCTCTATTTTGTCAACACATATGGCAGTATCTTCATCATTGTCTGCATTACTGTTGACAGATATATCTGCATAAGGCACCCATTTGAAGGTCGAGCTAACCAATCCCCCAAATGGGCTGTCTTGATTTGCTGCTTCATCTGGGCAGTAGCTTGGCTTTGCAGTAGCCCAATGTATGTGTTTCACAAGAAAGATTGCTTTAAATGCTTTTACAACATGTCAGAACAAGCATGGAGCATCCCCATCATTGTTTCTGTGGAAATCTTTGGATTTCTGATCCCACTTGCAGTGATGGTTTTCTGCTCTGCCCAAAACATCTGGATTCTTCTGAATCACAAAAGTCAAGCTAAAAAGAAGGTAGAAGGCAGTGGCTCCTTACGAGTTATTATCATCAACCTCGTGGTGTTTTTGGTGTGCTTCACACCCGTCCACCTTGCGATCTGCCTACAGTGTTTGGTAAGACAGCATGTGATAGTGGACTGCAGCCTGAAACAAAACATCAGCCTCTTCATTCAGGTGTCAATGATACTAGCCAACCTGAACTGCTGCCTGGATGCCATCTTTTATTACTTTGCAGCAAAAGAATTTCGTGAGAAAACACACCTGAAAAAGGTTATTGAACTATGTCCTGTCTTTAAGCCTTGTGCCACATGATGGTACTGCCTGAAATGAAAGAACACCTCTTCCTTGGCTCCCACTTGCCTCACAGGCCACTGACAGCATTATCCTTGACACAATAGTAGGGTCGCCTTAGCCAGGACAGGGAGGGTACAGGAGGAAGAAGGACAATGTTTTTCTGGTGAATGTGAACCTGTTCCATATTTTCCTCCCCTTTAAAGAAGAAAGGAGAGAAATGTTGGAAAAAAAGACCAGCATTAACAAAGTGATGGTGTGACACCAAAAGAAGCATTAGCCTTGACTGTATGTACTAAATGTGAAAGGCTTGCCAGAGGAAAACTACCCAGATCACTGGTATGCCACTTAAAATCAGCCTTTGTCATTGCTGCACCAGTTTTCCTTTTGCCAACACAATCCGAAAGTTGTTGCGAAGGGCAAAACATAAAAATAACCATTCAAACCCTTCTTTCTAACTTAGACAGTATCTGTGAATTAAAAGGCAGTATCTGGCCAAAAGTCTGACTCTGTGAAACAAAGAGGGGCCCAAACAATAGGCCTCAAACCAAAGTTAACTTCTGAGTGAATTCCCCGACCAGCAATCAGCATCTTATCAGCAGACTGAAGCAACCAGTATCTTATCAGCATGAAAATGTAACCCTGGGAACAATCCCTGGGAACTATAAGTAAACAGTAGGAAGTAAGTATAAATCCCAAATGTAAAGAAAAACAGAAACTCCTCAGACATGCCCAGATCCTGGCCAGATCCGGACATGCCTGAGTGAAGCATATCAATCTACCAGATATCTCCTGTGCGTTTTGTTTAGACTTGTTTGTTAAACTGTATAAGAGCCGGGCCCTCTCACAGCACAGACGCAGACCTCCCCTACGAGCGGACGCCCTGCGTGGGACTTCCCAGCTGCCGGGAAAGGCTCTGCGACCCTCCGCTGTGACGGGGCTCCCCAGCTGATGCACGGATCTGGATGATGGTAAAGTAGGAGGGCAATTGGTGATGTATCTTTCTTAATCACTATAGCCAGCTTTAAATAGTAATGTCTAGGTGCATTACCTTTCTTATTCTTTCTGCTGTTTTAAACTAAAGTAAAATAAGCCTATTTCTTTAGCTTGGTGTCTGTGTCCTTTGTGTTAACCCCGTCAATTGGCAAAACACTCTGCTCTTTCTTTCTGTAAATCTTACAGAAGGTCACTGCTGGAGTTCATTTGTGTCAAACAGCTTGGTCAGCCTGGGATAGTAGTGAATCCTCTCTCCTGTGAGCATTAGACACTGGTCAGAGCTGCTACACAGGACAGCAGCCCCGGCTCTTTCATGGAGAATGGGATGCCCTAGTATAAAACCCCAACAGAGAATCCTGGGTACCAGCAATTCCTTGAGCAACAAATATTTCTGATTATCTTTGCTGAGGAATCAGCATGGGTTTCTCCTGCAATTTTAAAACTGGTTTTGCACATGAAAACCAAAAAGAACCCCTTCAAATATGGCATTCAGTGAAAGACTGTATGTGATTAACTTTATTTCTACATCACTATTTTTCTATCAAAGATTTAACATGATACATGTATGAAATTCTTCTGCCTGTCTTCTTCTTTCTTGGAGGAGGGGAATTAAGAAAGTAAGCCCTGCATCACAGAAAAATAGGGACTATGTGCCAGATATATGCCTTGCTCCCAGCTGGAAGACTGGATCAGCTCTACCCACCTCATTCTTTAGAGAAGTCCTTCTAGCCTATACCGTACACTTCACAAAATGTCTCTGGACATGCCCCAGCCCTTCCTGGGCAGCACTTCTGGTATGTCACTGCCCTCACGCCATTTGCAAGTTTGGCTCTGAGTCTAATCTAAAGGTTTCTTTTTTGCAATTTAAGCCTACCATTTCTTGTACCATGTTGGCATGGTTCATACTCTTAGTCAGAAACACTTTTACATCAAGAAATCCATTTCTATGCCTTTTAAAATCAGCTGTAAAAATGGTCTAAGATTGCTTGTAATCAAGTCTTCATTCTGGAATGATGTTCCCTTTATTCCTAATGTGAAAAGAAATTACCTTCTGCCTGGAGCAAATTAAAAAGGAAGGGGGCTAGTTTTGAAAATACAATTTGCTGTCAATTGATTTCCATAGAAATGATTGATAGTGCAAGTGAGTAGCTGGACATATCTAACAGTGGGCCTAATGTATGAGCATTTTAAAACTTGTTAATACTAAAATTGTTAGCACAGCTGAGGCATGCAAGGAGCTCGGAGGCAAAGAAAGGTTTTTATCATCATCTTCACCATTATCTGGTAAAGGGGCAAGAGGAAGAGCTTTCCAAAACTGTAGATTTTCAAAACATTATTTGCTACTGTTTCAATCATTCAGAAACTTGCAGCCTTTTCAGTATGAGTTAACTTTTATTTTTTTGCATCTTTCACGTTATTTTGCATATGAAATGTGTGAGAAAGAACATGTTCTACCAAATAAACTGTATATATGAAGTGTATGATTTGAAAATACATTTTAATTCCCCAATCTGACAGCAGTGTATGATTCTTATCTACATATTTCATCATTAAATTTTACCATTTTCTCATTAAAACAGCTCCAAGACTTAGTTAGAGACTTTCCTTCCCAGGAACTACTTGAGGTTTGTAACTGTGGCAACCAAGAACAACTGAATAAACAGTAATAAACAGGAAAGATGATCACACCTAGAAGTCTGGATAATTTAATATATTTTCTGTGGAAACCCTCTCCCTAAATTCTTGACAAACCCCCCGCTAATCTTTTCTCCAGAATGCTCTGAGTTCTTGCTTTTATGATTAGCCAACTATCTGAAATTTTACATTACCATCGGTGCAAATTGTGACTCTGCAAAAACACAGCACTTTAAAGTACAAAGTATAACACTGGCCTTTTTATTTAAAGCTTTTCATGTATATTCAATGGGTGATGATAGAGCACACACCTTCTGCAAGCCTGTCCGCAACACAAAACCTGTGTGGCTAAGACGGTAGAGCCTCACTCCAGAGGCCTACAAACTCCAAGACAGGAGAGAATAAGCATCTTGAAGTGCAATAAGGAGAAACTTAGAGTAGTACTGCACCCAGGGCAGTACAACACCTCGGCCAGCACAGGCTGGGAAAGTAGGCCTGACTTAAATGTCCTCCCAAAAGAGCAACAGGGGACACCAGGCTCTATACAAGCCAGTGGTGCCCCCTCTGTGTAAATATGGAAAAATTCATACCAGGATTCAGCAAATATGAGGTCAGTGCAAAGAAAAATTAAATAATAATAGTAATTAAAAAAAAAAGTTATTAACCTTCTCTACTTGAGCTGGTGAGGCTTCACTGGAACAGTATGTCCAGCTCTGGACCTCCCAGTTCAAGACAAATGGGGAGGAACCAAAGAAGTTCAAAGCAAATGGTTTGTAGGACGGTTAGGTAGGTAGGTTGATGATCTTGGGTACAGGTCTGCAAGGAGATGTTGAGGAAGCTGGACTGGTTTCATCCAGCATGCTGGAAGGTAGCGACAGAGATGATGGAGCCAAGCACTGCCCAGTAGTTCCCAACAATATAACAAGAACTAATGGCCCTTGTTTCAGGTTCAATAATGGCAAAAACTTCTTCACTAGGAAGGCAATGCAGCACTGGAAGAGGTTACTCAGGAAAGATTTCTGATATCCTCTCACAGAGGTTTCCAAGTCATAGCCAAAATCATGGCTGATCCTATCTAGTTTTGGAGAAGAAAACTGGTTTCAGAGGTCCCTTTCTACTGCTCAGTGGCTCTCAGCAGATGCAGGTTTGTTTATTTTTTTCTCCTCCTAGACAAAAAAAAAAAAACACCTCTTAGTGCTGCTGATGTTATAGCGCTGGTTGTCAATAGCTCTGTTGCAAGCACAGTGCAAGACTGAGGACTAGATGCCTAAAAGTTACTAAGTAGAGCAACTGTGACACATTACACAAGGCTATGATATTTAAAGTCAGGACTAATGAAGCAATACCTTTGTCTTCAACTCATTTATCAATAAGTACTTGGAAAATAATTTTCTAATCTCCAAAAGAATAAGTGCCCATACGGAGTAGGCAGAAAGGAAAAGTCTATAGGAACTCTTGTATGCATGGATGGGGGAGAAGTTTGATCTGTCAGGGGTAGGGAGGCAGCATTCACTCATGCTGATGCTTGGTCAACAGTAGATGCCCAGCACACTCAGGCAGGGAGAGACTTCCATTTACAGAAAAAAATCAGTGCAATTTTCTCAATAAAGGAAACAGATGTCTGTTTATGAAAATCATCTGTAATAATACGAAGTGGTGGGACCCGCTGTGTATGACTGGTTTATAGACTCAGTCTGCTCATGTCACACATGGCAGCAAACTCAGAGCACAGAATCAGAAAGTTAAATTGAACTACTTTCTTCCCATTTATTGCCATCAGTGCCACTTCTTTGTTGGCCAAAAGTGATTTTATATATAACTTTATTTGTCTAAATTTTGCCTGTTACATATGTAAATGAAAGTAGCCTGTCTAAGCATATTTGACATTTCTGAGAAAAAGCAAAAGAAGGAAGAGAGCCCAGCTGTATTGGTTTTACAGGGCTATTACAATAGTCAAATCTTTTAGCACAAAAAGAACAGATCTTTTGAGCAAGAAGGTGTCACTTTCAATTCACTGCTTTTCAGGATGAACTTAAATTTAAATAATACACTTCAATTCTGTCTTTGACCTGCAGCTAAGATTACAGTCCTTTTTAAATCAGAATTTTACATACAAGATCCTCTATGAAATTACCGTTAACCCTGGAGAGTCTCCAGTTGGTTGTATTTTTATACCAGGACAAAAGCAATGAAAAACCTCATGCAGCTTGAGAAGGTGTGCAACAATTTTGTTGAATAAAATTAAAAAGCATTTGATATTTTAAAATCAACGACAAAAGCCTTCCTGAGTCAATACACAAGTTCACAATTTCTGTTTTCAGACTGCACAACAGAAGAGGTTTCTTCTCTTTTGAGGTTATTCTTAACACACAAAAAAACGGTAAGAACCTGAACCCCTCACATACTCTGGGAATCAGTTGTACTGTAAAGTCAAAGAAGCTTTGTCCAAGGGGGTCAAAAATAAATAGATTAAATGCTAACCAAAACCACCCAAAATAATGACTTTAAAATTTACATTTTCAGTTTTTGCTGTCTTCCATGAATTGAAAAGAAACTGATGGAATTAACCACAGTCCTTAAAGAGCAGATGTAGTTAGCCTTAATTTTTCTGGACAAGGCTGTTTCAGGACACTTAGGTGATAATATTCACAAAAAGCAATTTTGTTTTTCTCCAGCTGGGCCAAACCCCACAGATCTTCACAACACAGGAGGGGGCTGTCTGCTCTTGAGGGCATTTTTATCAATGGCAGATTACTCCACCAACATCCCACAACTAAAATTTGTTCAATAGTGAATGTGATCCCTAAGCTGTATGTTGTAGACTCATGCAGCAACTGAAAGATTGTAAAGTGTAAAAGTAGTTTGGACAAAAGGAAAGAAAAAACAAAACTGACACACACACCCCCTCAAACCACCCAGGGTTTGTTCCCCAAACTCTTTTCCTGTCCTTTTGCCTGGTGAATTA